AGGGCAAGTGTCCTTTCTTATTTCTCCTTGCTGGGCAGCAAATTCTTCAGCAAAGCCTTTGGTTTACTAACTTATAAATGTTTTTTGTTTTTGCAATGTAGCAGGCAGGGAATAAGCACAAGCAAGCCTGACTACCAAGAGCTGCAGTCATACTAGCCCTGCAAGCCCAGGAATACAGTCCAGCCTCCTTTGACTGTGAAGCCAGAGGAGAGCAGAACTTTGCCCTGACAGGTTTAGTCAGGGAAACTTTGTAAACACACATGTGGGTAAACATCAGTGGGATAAACGAATCAAACCAAAAGGAGAAAGCAAAAGTGACACCTCATGGCAACACAGGAAGTCAGTGGCAAAGATCTGTGACCTAAATGATATCCCCTCTCACATGAGAGCTGGGCTGTGCAGACTATAAACTTGGACAGGTCCTGGAACAAAGCCTTCCTCTTTGGTTAGGGGCAGAGAAAGAAATAGGGGGTGCTTGGGGTTTTTGGTATATCAGAGTGAAAACATGAGAAAGTCTGACAGCCTATTCATGTCACAGAACACAGACTCCTCATTTTTCCTGGCTTTGTAATTAAAAGAGAGCAAGAGACCACCACTCCTATAGGATAGGAACTTCCCATGCTCAGTTGAAGTCTTGAAAGGAAAAACAAGTTCATTTGTTTCTACTCTCCAAGCTTCAGAGGAAAAACTTCTCTTTCCAATGTCAACTTTACAATTCACCTCCTCAGATGTGCCTATTAGTCTGTATACAATTTAAATCCTCAGTCAGAGCCCACACAGCCAACGCCCCCTTTCCACACTGAATCTCTGCCCAACCTCTTGATTCCCAAACTCAATCCCCTCCTGGAACCTCACAGAGGAGCTACCCTCACACCAGAATTGCATCAAGCCATTGAGACACTGTTTTAATTGTTCAAAGCAGAAGTGGTTGTGCATATGCAGACTCACACAATCAGAAATGGAACATTCTTCAAGCAAACCAAGAGCTATGGAAATTGTAGAGGTTTTTTTACATTTCAGAAGTATAAAGTAAAAATTCATAGAATCATAGAAAGGTTTGGGTTCAAAGGGACCTTAAAGATCATCTAGTTCCAACCCCCCTTGCATGGGCAGAGACACCTCCCACTAGATCAGGTTGTTCCAGGCCCCTGGAACCTGGCCTTGAACATCTCCAGGGGGGCAACCACAACCTCCCTGAGCAACCTGTTCCAGCATCTCACCACCCATAGCAGAAACAAATTTTACCCAAAGTGATCCATTACAGACATAAAGAAAACAAATTCAGATGCTTATTGGCAAAGTTTGAAAGAGCTTGCAAACACCAGGCTCTCTGCAGGATACCATGACATTAGGGGTATTACAATTTTCTCTGGTTTAAGAAATTAATTACAAAAGGTTTAGTGCTCAACGTCTTGATCTGAAAAATCCTTCAGCTAACTAACAGATGAACAAAGCACTATTTCCAGCCTAAATCTAATTGTTAGTTGCAAATGATAATATGAATCAGCAATGGCTGCATGAGTCCCTTCTGTTAGGTAGGTTCCTCTTGACTGAGGCATTAACTTATTTCAGACATGTCAGTGAACAGTGGGCAAATTATTGCCAAGTATTATACTTGAGGCTATCTTGGAACAAAGAGGTTAAAAGGGTGCACAGCCCATTTGCAAATAGCATAGTCAACCATTCTGCCCCATATTTCCTGCGGAATTGAGAAAGTGTCTTCCAAAAATAGCCAATAGTTTTGCTGAAAGGCTCAAAACAAACAGTACCTCTGAAGGAATATCTTACATACTTTACATAATGGCCATCTCAGAAGGGAAAAAAGGATGTGTACAGTGTTTTGGTGCAAATTCTGCATTGAACAGAAAGACCTCATTCTTTGCTTAACACAAGGCTGAAATTCACTAAGAAGGAAACTGCTGAAGTCAAAGCCTCAGGGCTTAAGTTGGGAGGGGGATACCACTCTGACATGAACAATTTTTATCCTAGATTCAAACCACAAAAGGATATGCAAAAGGAGCACTGTCAGCTTGTTTAAGCCTCAAAAAGGAAAGTTCAACCCCACTCAGCATCCCTTCATCAAAATCTAATAAATATAAGTGCTTGGTCTGTTGTGTATCCAAGTCTACCTCTGCACAATTCTGCTTACCTTTTATTTTTTTTACTATTTTTAAACACATGGTCCTTTTCTCCAAATGTGGTTTACTCTTCCTGCTAAACATGATACCACATATCACAGTTTAAAACAATACCACAAGACTAACACCAGTATAGGGCCATAGCCACTGGTGTCTTCCTCTTCACTCCGTATTCAGCTGTATCTTTCCTCAGCAGCTGAAAGTTCATTCACATGCTTGTCTAGTGAAGGTGTGTTCCTTAGAGACATGGGTAAAACCTAACACTCCACAAAAAAGGAATTGTTAGAGATGAAGCTGTAGCAGCATGAAAAGGCCAGTCAGATAACATAGTAAGCAATGGGGTTTTTTTCCCTCTCTCTCCTTTTTTGAGAGCCCAGAGAGCAAAGTTGTTTCATGTGCATTAGGATGACAACAGCCCAAGGGCCTAGATTTTGTGTTGATTTGTTAAGCAAGTGCTTCACGTTCAATTCTCCTTTTCTTCTTAGAGGGAAAGGGAGATGTGTTCCATTTTTCCTGTGTAAACAAACAAATAACTGATTCCAGGCTGTGCAAACTACCTGCAATACACAATTAAACTCTTAATTATTACTACTGTTGTTGTTCTCACATCCCCAGTCACCACCAGGGAAAAAACAAGGAAATTAACTGGATCTCCAGCTGAGAAGAATTTGCGGAAAATTCTCTCCCTAGGAAAAGAACCTGTGTGTGTTCAGATAAGAAGTTAGGGAAGGGCTTGGCAGGCCACACTTGGCTCTAAGCTGCACCAATACATAAAATAACTTAATCAGCAGACCAAGGAAGCTCAGACCTTACCACCTACCTTCATATTAACTAAAAATATGGTTGCCACCTGGTGGCTAACACAGAAGGAAATCAGCATCTATGACAAGTTCAAGGTAGACACCAGATCCCAAGAGACAGGTTCCCTACCCTGTCCCCTTCTGGAACTGCCCATAAGGGGAAAAAACACAGATGTGGCCACATTTACTAGCAGGTGCCATCCTGGATCTGCTTTTTTTTCTTTTTTTCCCCAAGCAGCCAGGCAAGTTCAAAGCACACTTCTGGTCTCAGTAAATGAGCTTAAAGCAGCGAAAACAGCACAAGCAAAATTAGGCCCAGTAGGTTTGGGTTGCTGTTCACTCAGCAGCATTTAGGAGCAGCGTCGGCCACCGGTGCAAGGCTCAGGCCAGCCCCGCATCCAATCCCAAACCTCCTGGATGGAATCGAGCTGCTAAAGATAACCCCCGGGGAGCAAGAGCAGCAGTGGGCAGATCCGTCCTCCCTCCCTCCCTCCCAGACGCACCCGTCCTTATTCAGTCAATGTCATCTCGCAGCAAATCGCTGAAGGCCAAGATGAGCGTGCCCGAGATAAAAGCAGCTGATCGATGTCCCTGCGTGAAATGCCCGATAATCCCCGCACAGAGCGGGCATCTGGCACCAGCTGCAGCGTGCCAGGGAGATGAGCACGGAAAGTATCCATTGCATGTTCCTGGCACCCTCCGTCGGCGCAGGGGTGGGCAGGGAGCGGCGAAAGGGCCCCGGGATATAAAAAAATAAACACCAAAAACCCACCCTTCCCTCACCAGGCATCGGCACCGCCTTCAGAACGGGTAGGGTTGATGCCTTAGCGCGGCTCCAAATGGACCTCAAGGTCGGCAAAGCAAATAGCGAACAGGCTGTGAGAAGACAAGGCAGCAGGTCACTATCTCCTTGTTACCCCGCCGCGCACCCAGCGCGGTCACACAGCGCGGGGCTGTTCCCGCAGCCCCC